GTATAGATAACTTCCTTATAGCTAATCCAAGCGAACTGCATCAAAGTAAATGGACATGTCACATTCTGTAAGACAGGTAAGTGCTACTGCTGCAAAGAATAAGCTCAAAGAAGCAGGCAAAACAAGCTTCATGTTAAGGCAAATTAAACACTTCACCAGTAAATGAAAAACCCATCTAAATTAATTTTCTCAAATAAATTAGCTGAAAATTATTAAAGTTGCAAAGAAAGATATCAAAAACATGCCAGTTTGGAGAAAGATAATCTAAGGTAAGATTGCAGCCCAAACAGGTATTGGCTGGCTTATAATTGGTATTAAAATATGATGTATTTGTAGTTTAGCACACTCTGTTAACATGCTGTAATTTAACAACAAGTCCTGGTTAACAAAATGTTGGCAAAACTTCATGTCTGAACCAGGTAGTTGTTCTACATAATGACTTATCTAACATTTCTTTAGTGCTAATTTTCTATTTTAAAATATAAGCTACCTAGAACTGTTTGAGAGTTGATTAATTAATGATGTGCCATAAAGTTGTTTTTGACTCCTAGAGACCACATAAACACATTTTCTCCATGACAGTTGGAGACTTCTCCATGATTGTCTGGAAGTTGGTCTGCCTCTCAATTCTACACATTTAAGAATCTCACAGCCTAAGATTTCCAAGAGGTTCTGCAGAATTTTTTACCATATGTATTGCTGGGCATTTTATGCCTCCTGGAGCACATCTGGCCCTTAAGCTGTTCTTATCTGGCCCATGTGAGATCAATGAGAAATTAGAACTTAAATTTATATAACTGTATACATGCACACAAAACAACTACATTGCTTTTATTTTGAAGGCGACTACTATTTTTTTTCCAATTTAGGTAAGTGCCTGCGTGCATGCTTACACATTTCACAGCCTTATTGGTTTGGCCCTTCACAGCAGTCCTACTTTCTCAATGTGGTCCCTTGGGAAAATTAATTATCCACACCTGACTTAGATTTAGAACTCTGAAATTTATGAATATTATATACAGACCACTTTTTTCTTAATTCCCTCAACAACAGCCCCGACAGGTAGATGGGTGGGGGACTAGATTCAGGCTCTTTGTTCAACACCTTAACTAATAAACCAATAAAGGAGATGCACAGTTAGTTTCAAAGAACTGCACAGGATCTAGTCCTGAGCATGAAGATTCTTTTGGAAGCTAGTCCATACCGAGAAAGGGAGCAGGCCATTTTACTAGTGCTGTAGTAATAGCTGTTTATCCCATTCAGGAAAGAGAAAGGGCAAGCAGAAAAGAATATAACCCTAATATATACAGATTATTTACAGTATAAGAAACAATTATTTAATTTCTACAAAATAGCTGATGAATGACAGGCGGTTCTTCATTTCCCAATGCTGTGGTAAATGCAGGTGTTTGTTTTAGGGCTGCTTATCTGGGGAAGGTGTGGACATCCAAAGAACTGTAGAGTTTGGCCCACAATCCTTTGATGAATTCCCATAACTTACCTTGCTTTCCTTTTATATGGTGCCGGAGGACGCTGGGAGCAGTACGACGATAACAGCTGTTCCGTTGCCAGGCTTCTGTGCCACCTACCCTTCCAGCTTCATCCTCCCAATCCAGATTCCAGTCTGAGCGTCCTGCCCGTGTCCTGGGACACCCACCCTTCCTGACCTGTGCACCTGCTGCAGTTTCAATCCTCTTGGTATATGCCGCATGCTGTGATTTGGCAATTTCACACCCAGGTTCAAACTCCCGATTGCCATTCCCATTTCTCAGGGACCAAGGTGGTGGATCTTCTAGGGCAGTGTGTCTTACAACATCTGTGGTACAGCTCCCAGGAATTGCTCCTGAATGTTGGGCGTTGTGGGAGACTTCACACAACATGAATAAGCTTTCTGGCTTTCCAAAGTGCTTCCAGTCAGTGCTATAGTCCACATAGCTGTCATTTTTCTTCTTATCATTCCTATCCAAGGTATGGCCACCTGAGTTCCAACCCTCTGTTGGACGGTCACAGAAATTCAAATTTTCCTTCCAACAGTTTGTATCCAAATGTTCTGCATTTCTGGAGAATCTGAAATCGGCATCCTGGCCATCCTTACGCACAACAGAAGGTTTCTTGTGAACCACTTGGGTGCTATTTTCAAAGTCTGTATAGTAGCCGTCTTCTTCCAGATAACCATTGCTTCCTGTTTCATGCTCCAACCACAGATTCATTTTCTTCTGGTCCATGGATTGATTACCCTCCTCCACATAGTCCTTGCAGTTTCTGGTCACACTGCCGTCCCTGTGTCCACTATCCCCATTTTTGAAATGGTCACAAACTCTCTTCACAGGTCTGATGGTGTCACACAGGTCCCTGTTTCTACACTCGCTCTTCCAGTTTTCACTACCACCATCTTGCCCATGTTCCTTATAAATCTGTCCTCTTCTTTCAGAGCTGTAGTCTCTGTACTCACGGTTGGGTAGTTGTGACAGACAGATCTGTTGTCCTGGAGAGTTTATCTGATTTCTGGACTCAGAATAAATGCTCATATCCTTCCTGGTATGCTCTTATCCCACTCCCCCCCCTTTCCTTTCTCAGAACTTCATCGTTCCTTCATAACTACCCTTTCCCTGCACCTCACCCCTGAGACGGTGCTGACTAACTGCCTACCATAGAGAAGCTGTGTAACCTTCGTACCCAATAGGCAGCCAGTTCAGAAAAGCCTCTCCCTGCTGCTGGCAGGTAATGAGTAACAAGAATACCACAGTTTGGATTGGATCAGTGCCCTGCCCAAACCGGCTTCTCTGCTTTATAATGCTAAAGGCAGGGAAAATGACCTCTCTTTAGGGCTCGTAGGTTCAGGAAAGCTAAGCATGTGGTTTATGTGTTTGTATCAACCAAGGACTTCTCTGGGTGTGGGAATATATTTTTGAAAAGCACACAGCTTTGGAGAATTGCCAAAACTCTGGATTCTTAGATGTCTCCGGTCTTCTAGTAGCAGAAACACTGACAATCTTGACTGTTAAGATATCCCGCATCAATCTGTTTCCCCGTGACCCATTCTATTTCATCCAACAAGTCCGAATACATAGCAAATAACACAGCACTGGGCCTGAATGCTTTTCATATCTCAGAGTTCAGTTAATTCATTGTCTCAAGCCTACAAAATCCTAGATAGACACTCTTAAATTCCTGATAATTAGCATGGAAATGATTAAACTTCGGAAAATAAAACTGTGGCATCTAATGCAGAATACAAGAGTTTATATGAAAGCCAACTAATTTCACAGATTTCAAAGAAAAACACAAAAACACCTGCTTAGTAGATTTTCTAAGAAGATAGCGGGAAGATGTTTTCTGTCTTTGTATGATCACTAATTCTTTTATTTGCCTATGTCTATTTGTCTCAAGTCTCTGTGCCTCATAAAAATGGACAAAATTACATAATCATTATTGGAGAGAGGGCAGGAATAGGAGAAAAGCACCCCCCTCCAAAAAAAACCAATTATGATGCTTTGCAAAGAAATCAGATGAGCCAAACTGCTTATTTATTCAGTGGATTTAAGAGAGCAGGCATTTCTAAGTGTATCTTCCCAAGTGCTAATAGCTTTTTAGTCAATAAAAATGGGAAAAAAGCATTTGCACATCATAATTTATGCACACGGTGACTGGCAGCAAGTTATTCTCCTAAGATTCAGAGCATCTTTATTATTTTCATTCTTCCCCCAACTGTAACCCCTCTCAATTTCTAGTTAATTGATATTGATCCTCCTGGTTAGAATGCAGTATTGCAAGCTAACTGCCCATAGACTGAAATTCGATCCTAATTAGCTCAAGGTTGACTCAGCCTTCCATCCTTCTGAAGTCAGTAAAATAAGGAACCAGATTGTTTGGTGGTAATATACTGACATTTCACCCGCCCAGAGAATGCTGTAAAGCATTATGAAGCGGTATGTAAGTCTAAGTGCTATTGCTAATGCTGTTCCATTCTGCTTCATACTGGTTTGTAGGCTATATACAATAACTTGTTTGGGCATTTGGCCAAAATACAGTATTCATTTTGGAGGACTACTTGCATGTTCTTTACCTGCTTGCATTCTTTTTGCAGGGTTTCACTGTTAACAGACAGAATCAGAGTAAAAGGGGTGAGGAGTGAAAGGAATTTGCTTCCCCATTACTGTTACATATTTCTTTTTTAACACCTGAAACAAGTTAAGTGGCTCTGAGGTAATAACATCGTCACGCCATGGTTGTTGCACAGAAACAGCCAGTGAGTAAGCAACATGTTCAAAAACTAAAGCAATTTTTTTTATAACTAATGCATTACACCATATCACTGCTCAAGTTACAGTTTGATCTGATTACAGTTGTAAGCAAGAAAAGCGGACATCTAGAATGTATTTTCCCCACAAGTATCCCAGTACAGATCCAAACTGGCCCATTCTTCCCAGCCTGGAGCCTCTCTTGGAAAGACACTATGAGATACTGAGCATAAAAATCTTTTCTGTAAACACTTGCCCCAGCCAAAGATCTTGGAAGAGCAAGAGGCACTTTAGATTATTGTGCATCTTAAAAACCAGAAATACGTTGTGAGAGAATAGGGCTGAATTTAACATAGACTCCTACTACTTCCTCTTTCTTTGTGGAGTCCATGGTGCTCTCTAGGTTCATGGATGAGAAGCGAAACGTCTTCAAAGAAAAACCAGAAAGTCCAGTTGCCGCTTGAAAAAAACATCTTTGCGACAACTGTGACCTGGATGACTGAGAATCTCCATAGATAGACATCTAGGTTTGTTTGTTTGGTTGTAGACATTTCACCATACAGTTAATGTTACCTGTTTCGGTAATGAAATGTCAGCAAGCAAACAGCCAAGCTCAAGAGAATATCAAGGACTCAAAATTTCAACCCTGAACTACGTATATTATTTTCTCCTTTTTCAATTCCACCTATGCAAAAAAAGGTAGATGTGGGGTAGGGTCTGTCCTCTCTACCCACCCTCACTGAGACTGACAGTACTCACCCTTCAGCTCCTGCAGCTCCAGGGACAGGGATGATATTTTACAGTCACAGAGGTCCACGTTCTCTAACGTCTCATCTCGCCCAGCCTCATCCTGTGGCTGTTCCAGTGTTGCACTGAGCTCTGCGTGAGTCTTCCTATAAAAATCAAGTTCTTGCTCTAATTCCTGAATACGATTCAATAAGAAAGGACATGGAGATGTTCTTCCAGACTCAACAGTGTTCCCTTGTCTCTCTCTGCTCCCCAGCTGCTGCTTAACTGCGGCTGGGCTTTTCCTTTGGCTCTCTGGAGGTGGAAGTGGTGCTGGCCTGGAGGGCCGCATGGAAGGTGGAATACTCTGTGAGACAGGTGCAGTGCTGGGGCCAAACCTTATTGGCACATGTGGTGAGGCAGAGACAGGAATATCAGGTCGAGGTGGGGGTGGCCGTAGCACTTTTCTCCTCTGCGAAGTATTCTCTACTGTACCACATACAATATCTCTCTCACAATTGAAATCCAGAATGGAAAAATGCCGAGCAACATTATCCTGCTCAAAAGTGTCATGGCCACCATGGCCTATAGGATTTGTCAGGCTCTGTTCAAACTGAGCCAGCTGCTCTGTCAGTTTTGAGTCAAGGTCCCCACAGATCTCCCCATGGGCCACACCTTGAGGGAGTTCATTCTGTGTACCTTGACAGGCAGGCCAAATGTCCAAGCTCTCCTGAGTTCTACTGAAGCTGGAAGAATGAGATTTAGGTTTCTGCTGCTGACCACCCATGCAAACAACTAAGTCCTCACAAAGAATGCTCTGGTGGATCAGACTATGAGCCTCTCCATCCTGCTCTGAGCGCTTGCCGCCCTTCAAACGGTCCCATGAAGTTTTGGGGGTTTGAATGGGCTCTGATTTATCCGAATGGTCATAGTGTTGGGTTTTTACCTGAAGTGGAGAATGAGGCATGGAAGAAACTCCATTGACAGTTTTATCAGAATCTAGGGAGGATGTGCCTGGCACTTCTAAAGGAACAGAGCCAAGGCAACTTTCCTTCTGGTGATTTGGTATTTGGTTCTGTTTTACTTCAGAGTGCAAAGAATTCCTGTGCATCAAAGGAAGTTGACAAGTCTTTTCCTCAGTATAGTCTGAACTCCATCCAGGCTCCTCTCCAGGGGAACCTGCTTTGTGAAGACTGGCTGTAACAGAATCCACCCCCTTTGGCAAATATCCAGATTTCCATTGCTTTCTAGGCTGTAGGCAGTTCTCTTCCAACCTCACAAACCGGTGAGGAAAGATGCCACGTTTTCCTCGAAGTTCACCCTCTAGCCAACCATCTTCTAAAACTTCCAGAATTCGGATCCGTTCCCCCACCTCAAAGTCTAGTTCTTCTGATTCCAGGGCTTGGAACTGATAGAGGGCAATCCCATAAAGTCCTGGCAATGCCACCTCATCACTCCACGGCTTCTCCTCTTCCTGGGAATAGGTATCTTTCATTCCATTTATCTTTGGAATCTCTGATGAAGTTCGGTCATCTGGGTTATTGTTGGATTTTAGGGGACCCAAAAGCTCCACAAAGCCCTCTGGGAAGATGCCTCGGCGACCTTGAATCTCCCCTTCAAACCATCCAGGTTCTGGAATTCCAACTATGATAATCACATCCCCTTCCCGGAAATCAAGTTCCTCCTTCATCTGGGCTGAAAGGCTCATCAGTGCTCGGGCCTGACCCAGAGCATAGGATGGCATTTCCAGTGTTGAACCATGTATGAATCGGGGACCAAAACCTGAAACGCTGAGCTTTTGAACACAGGATGATGGGAAGAAGCCACTGGTTCCCCAGCTGCTCCGGCCTTTCAGCCAAGGAGATGCTATAGAATCATTCAATATCACCAGGTCTCCTGCAGGGATAAGGAACACATTTTAATTTCATTTTATTTATCAAATTTCTACATCAACCAGTCAACATCTTGATTTGCTCACAGAAGTAAACTGACACCCAATGCATTTCACATAGCCAAGGTGCTACCATAGAGGCACCCAAAACTGCTTGTGTCTCCACATTTTACATTCCCAGATACTCTTCAAGGGTAGCCCCATATAAAGTGCATTGTAGTAGTCTGTATGTGAGATGACCAGGGCAGGAATGACAGAAAGAAAGGTTATTTGATCCAGGGAAGGGCATAACTAGCGCAAAATAGGAAGTTGAGCAAAAACCTCTTCACCGTGACTGTGACTGCCACCTTGTCCTCAAGCAAGGGTCATGAATCCAAGAGGATCTGCATATTAGGAGATGGGTCTGTCTGGGGTGGGGCAAACCCCATCCAAGACTAAAAATGATAAACCCCACATATAGGGGAGCCTCCTACATACAGCCACTCAGCCTTAGCAGTCTTCAGTTGAAGTCTGTTGTTCCCCATCCAGACCTCCAAGCACCATGGAAGGGTATCCATAACATTAGAGGTGGGTTCCTACCTATTTGGTCTGGTTCGGCCAAATAGGTAGTAACTCCGGGGGACATGTGACCGTACCGGTTCTTTCCTCAGCGGCGCCATCTTGATTTTCTGTTCTGCACATGCGCAGAACAATCTTCATTGAAAAAATGTAATTTTTATTCCTTTTTAAATGTTGTGTGCATGCACAGACAATTTTAAGTGCAAATGTGCATGCATGCAGAGCGCAAAGCTTTTCAGGTAGTAATGGTGGTAGAACCAGTAGTAATGGCATCCCTGCTTAGCATTGTTTATTTCATCTGGAATAAAGATTTACAGCTGGGTATCATCCGAATACTGATGATACATCGTTCGGTGGTGACTGATGATCTCACCCAGCAGAGCAGAGACTGAGCCCTGCAACACTCTACAAAGCAGGAGCTGCAGCCTGTATGTCTTGCTTCTTATCAACACCAATTGGGACAAGTCCTGAAGGAAGGAGGTGAACCATCACAAAACTGTCTCCCTCTCTCAGCTCCTGAGGACGACACAAAAGGACACCATGGTTGATGGTACTGAAAGCTGCCAAGGGGTCAAGAAGAGCCACGATTACCCTCAACCTACTCTTGCGAGAGGTCATTAAAAAAATGGCGCAGACATTCCCTCTTCACCTTTCCTTGTATAGGAAGTCCTCAACTACAATTGGGACCAGAATTTCTTTTACTTAGCAAGATGGTTGTTAAGTGAGTGGATTTTGACCCTTTTTTGGCCATGGTTGTTTAGCAAATCACTGCAGTTAAGTGAATCAGACAATTGTTAAGCAAATCTGGCTTTTCCCATGGATTTTACTTGTTGGAAGCCATCTGGAAAGGTTGCAAATGGTGATTCCATGACCCTGGGATGCTGCAGGCATCATAACCATGTGCTGGTTGCCAAGAGACCAAATTCTGGTCACATGACCATAGAGATGCTGCAACAGCTGTTAAGTGCGAGGACTGGTTGCAAGTCACTTTTTTTAGCGCTGCTGTAACTTTGGATTGTCACTAAACAAACGGCTGTAAGTTGAGAACTATCTGTAGTCCAACGTAAGATTTCAACTCAAAGCAGCCAGTCACAAAGATTGTTCTCAATGGCATTTGAACAACAATTATATGTATTTATTTATATTTATTCCGCCTTTATTATTTTTATGAATAACTCAAGGTGGCAAACAAATCCAATACTCCCTTCTCCTCCTATTTCTCCACAACAACAACTCTGCGAGGTGGGTTGGACAGAGAGAGAGTGACAAGCCCAAAGTCACCCAGCTGGCTTTCATGCAGTACTCAAATTCGCAGTCTCCTAATTTCTACCTTACTGCCTTAATCGCTAGACTAAATGTGCTGGAAAATGGCAGCTATCCTAGTGACTGTAGAGATGATCAGGCTTCTGTTCCAAATATAGCAAGACTACCAAGGTACAGAAGCAGAAATCCCTGGACCGCTATGATTAGAACTGTAATGGAGAAAGGATACAGAAGAGAATCCCTTTTGATGGACTGACAGAGATCTACAGGAGAGCAGAGCATTAAGGAACTCTTTCGCCCAAGTAAGGAATGCATGGAAATCGCCAGTACCTCTCTGCAGGGCAAGGCTGCCAGGCTCTTGGGAAGTAAAGTTGCTGATACAAACAAACAGCTTCTCTCCTTGCTTCATAACAGGAACATCCACAGGTTCTACAAAGCTGCTGGGGAACTGGCCTAAAATGGATAAGGACAAAGAGAATTTTCAATAGAACAGGAAACACATCTAAATAGTGGAAAGTATAGTCATGGTTCTTTTCCCTTGACATCTATGTCATTCTTCACCATGGCATAAACGCACCACAAAGTTTTCTCCTGCTGCCATCCTTTTCGTTAGGATTCTCCCAGACTTTCACACTGAAAATGTGGTGGGGAGTGTGGCAGTGTAATAAGCTGTTTTTAGTGCTAACTATTCTGTTGTCAATTCCATAAAATTGAGGGATTTGTACACTGTCTTCCTCATTTAATATACACTTGCTAAGTTAAAGAAATTCTGCAGTGTACATTGTTGGAAACCGCAAACGTGAATTGAGTTTTGCTACATGAGAATTGATAAAGTATGATAACTGCCGTTGGTAACATCAATAATGTGCAAATGTAAGGGAAATGTGTTATGGTTTACCAGGTCATTGGTACACCTTACTTAGTATTGACTACTATCACAATTGTACCCTTAAGGAAAAATAAAATTTCTTAATTGAAATAGAAAATTCCACAGAAGCACCAAGTTTCTACATAAACCCTCTTTTTTCTTAGAATAACAAGTATTTGTAATTAATGACAATTCAGAAATGTTTAGTATGGTTTTATTTTGCTTAGATTTAATCCATCCTTCATGATGGAACTATTTCCCAGCATCTTTCAACAAGGTGGGAATCAAATTCATAAGTCAGACCCAGCCTGGCATAAAACAAGATGACCAAAATGAGCCATGGAATGATTAAAATATAACTAAACAAAGGATTTTATTCCTAATATTCTTACAGAAAATTCTACGCACTTTCTTCTAGAATCAAAGGAATGGTTGTCACACAAGAGAGATATGTTGCTTTTCCTTTGTATGGGACAATCTCTTTCCTCCATCCATATCAGGTTGTTCTTTTTACTGGATATATGATTGCCACTATTCATCTAGATCAGTGTTTCCCAACCTTGGCAATCTGAAGATGTCCGGACTTCAACTCCCAGAATTCCCCAGCCAGCATTCGCTGGCTGGGGAATTCTGGGAGTT